ACCATTGCTTTCTTACTCTGGTAACTGAAAAATTCATCTGCTGTTCATAAACAAACAAACCTTGTGTATAGTAATTTAGCTCACCTTTTATTTATAACTTTGAAAAACTGCAGTTACGAACACATTGCTTCATTATTTGCCAATCCCAGGACTAAAGTAATCTTCTGTCTTTTGTTCAGTAAACATTTATGAGTCACCTATTGCATGTGAGGCAGTGTGCTTGCCTGAGTTTAGACAAGTTAAATTTGGTGCTAATGGGTCAAGTATAAATATCCAATAGACTCTTAGAGATATGTCTCCAGAGATTAAGAGAAATTTAGACTGTATCAAATATACTTATTATATATTTATACAGTTATTTGCACAAGAAAAATTCAGCTGTTTAACTTCACTGATCTTCAACAAGATACAGATTAACACAAGAAAAAGATGCTGTTTAATACCCATTAAATTATCTAATTTAAAAAACTACACAGTGCTGGCAGATTGTGGTCCAACGAAGATGCATGTAGGCTACTGGCAGAAATATAAATTGATTTAGGTATTTTGGAAAGCAATATAGCCATGCATGTTAAATGCAAAGAATTGTGTGATACCCTTTGATTTAATAATCCCACTCTAGAAAAGTTATCTTACAAATGTGGGGCAAATGTGATAACCACTGTAACAGCTATATATGATGTCAGAGGGGTAGTAGATTGGGGGTGGGGAGTTATCACTTTGTGAGGGGTGTAAATGTCTGTTATATTGTTTCATACACCTGAAACTAATAAAAATAAAATAAAATATATGTGAGCCAAAAGGAGAAAAAAAAATCTCTGCATCTCGAAATGAGGAAAGGGCGCTGAGAGTTGCTAAATGGTGACTTGTGCTAAATACTCTGAGTCATCTCAGCTAATCCTCACAGCAGCCCTTTGAAGTGTCCCCACTCTATAGGCAAGGAAACAAGGCTCAGACGGATTAGAAATTTGTCAGTATCATAAAACTTGTAAGTGCACCGTTCGCACTTAAACTAGGCATCTGTCTAATTTAGACCAGCTGTGTAAGAAGAGAAAAATAGTTAAAATGCAGGAAAATACAGGGGGAAAAAAACCAAAGTATAAAACTATAGGTTCATCATATTTATTAAGAATGTGTACATGACTAAGTAGACTAGAGACAAATGAAAAGTTTAATTTGTTATGGTGGCAGATTTTATTTCAATACGTATATTGGAATCGCCATAATCTTTTTGATTTTTTACAAATTCTGGGGTTTTTTATGGAAATGATGTAATTAATATTTTGACTATATTTTCAAATGTATTATTCACATCTCTATGTACTTCTAAAAGGCATGTGAGCTGTGATATCATGTCTGGGTGCGTCCTCTAGTTTGTCTTCATCACCTACCCTTTAACTCGTGAAAACTCCCATCAAGGTCCATCACTAGCAGAATCCCTACGTCCTTAAACCCTTCTCTGAAATTACTTTCCTCTTGTTAAATCCAAACCCGATATTTCCTGAAAGCATGGCTTCCCTGCAGCCCTCTCTGGGCAGCTGTATTTTTTGCCCCAAAGTTGAGGGGGTATAATTGGTCTCTATGCTCTTCATTGCAACCTTGAGCATTCATTCCACTTCAATCCTCCCTAAAAACTCTCAGCTTTAAACCTCTTGTCATCAGACTATATCCTCCACTACCCAATTGTTGTTACAGTCCTCTACCAAGCCTAGGATTCCTCCCTCATTTCTCCATAATTTTCACTCCTGGAGCACCACCATCTTTTCAGCAATACTTCTCTTCTCATTCTTGGGGGTTTCCATGCTTACATATACAGTCCTTCTAATGGCCTCTCACTCCCCTGGCCAGCCCGTCTCAGTCTCCCGGGATTCCAACCTTAGACATCTCCTCTGTCTACATGTAAGCCCAGAGTCATCATCCTTAAAGGGCCATGGCTTCTCAGTTCCTCATCTTCTCACCACCTCAGCCTTACCGCCCACGCTTGCCCGCTAGACAACATCATCACCAAATACCGCGTGCCCCCTTTATCTCACTCAATGCGTGCCGTTCTCTGACCACTCTCTTGTGCTTTGGCTCTTGAGCGCCTTCCCTCCAAAGTTGAGAAATCAACTCCATCAGAACCTACCATCCATTAATCCCACTACTTTTTTCTTCCTCTCCCTCCCTCCCAAGATGTTGGTCCAGCTCAAGTTCCATGAACAGTCGTCATATTCACTCCTTTGCATGAATCCTGACTCCCTTGTCCCCTTCACATCTCACACCCATTTGGCAATTTCACCAGCCTGGCTGAATCCACATCTCTGCCTGGTCCGTGCCAGCCTCTGTGAATCAGACAGTAGCTGGAGAAAAACACAAAACTGTACTATTTGATTTCACTTTTAGTTCATGACCGTGAACCTCAAGTGGGAACTTATGGCTATATCCAGCAGTCATATTATGTTACTCACTCTCACTGGACTTTTGACAGCCTTTTCCTCTTTCCTTAGCTCTCCAACACCTCCTCTCTCAACCTTATTCTCAACTGATGCCTTTCTTCAGACTTTTGCTGGAAATATTGAAGCAATACAAGGGAGCTCCCACAGCGGCCACTGAATTGGTCACAGATGAACTGGTGAAGACCAGCCCCGCACTCCGATGTCCCCCTTGCCTACACAAGGATCTGCTCCAGTAATGCTTCTCGTCATCTCCTGATCATCCCGTCAGCGTCCATCATATTAAGGAAAATAAAAACACTCCCTGGATCTCAGTCCACTTCCTCCCTTTAGCAACCAATCCATATCTCTTCTCCCCTTCATAGCAAAACTCCCCAAAACGTCATCTGGGGTACGTTCTTGTTATTCCTAGTTCTCCTTCGTCAGCCTCTCTTAAGTCTAATTCAGCCAGGCTTTTGGCCCAAACTGTTCCAGTGCTCATATCAGAGTTCTCCAGTAAATACAAGCTGTCAAATCCAGCAGTTCTCAGTCCTCACGTCACCATCCTGTCGGCAGCATTTGATGTCACTCTCACTCCTACTCCTTGAAGCCCTCGAGTCACCTGGCTTCCGAAACACACTCCTGGATTTTCCTCTCACTCCCCTGGCCAGCCCGTCTCAGTCTCCCGGGATTCCAACCTTAGACATCTCCTCTGTCTACATGTAAGCCCAGAGTCATCATCCTTAAAGGGCCATGGCTTTCAATATCATCTATGTGCTGATGGGACTCCTGGACTTATTATTTCCAGCCAGACCTTTCTTCTGACCTCCACACTTACATGTCCATTTAAGAGCTTTTGGGATAGTTCCATTTGCATGTCTAATAGACATCTCAGACTTCACCTGTCCAGACTCAACTCCTGATCTTACCCGCACCCCTCCATGCCTTCAGCTGCTCAGGCCAGCTTCCTAACGCTCTCACTGCTTCCAAACTCCTTGCCATCTCATGCCTGGATGATGGCAGGAGCCCCCTAACTCTGTTTCTGTGCCGAGCACCTTTACAGTCTGTTCTCAACACGGCAACCAGCGTGATCCTTCTGTAACAGATTAGATCCTCCTTCTTCACAGCATGCAGCCTGACCACCGGTTAGCTCTCTGACTTTCTTTCTCTTCCTTCTTACCTTTTACTCGCCCCACTCCAGCCACACTGGCAGCATGCCAAGCAAGTACCACCCCTCACCCACCTGAGGGTCTTTGCGTAGACTATTGTCAATGTATAGAATTTGGAGAACTCATTTCTCAGCGACATCAAAGGTCACCTACTCTGGCCACCCGATGTTCTCTCCGTTCCTCACCCTGCCCTATTTTTAATAGTACATCCCACCTTCTAACATATATACTCTACTCATTTATTATATTTATCATCTATCTTCCGCTACAGTGTAAGCTTCAGGAGGACAGATTTTTGTCTGGTCTATTTATTGCTTTATCTCCAACATCTACAATAATGCTTCTACCTAAGAGATGCTAAAAAAAAAAAATGTGTTGACAGTATGAATGAAAGTTTCCCTATTTCTGCCTGATGTCCCATAGACACATGCTAAGAGATCCGCCTCAGAATAGCTTTTAATTCCTTTTCAAGTTGCTCAAGTGTTATGTTGTAAACAGCATTCAGAAAATGACTGCTAAGAAACGCTGTATCATTGACTTGATTGTAGATGGTCTTTTAGTCTAAACTGAAAACAACTCCTCTACAATGTAGCATTAGTATCATAAATATTGAAAATGTATAAACAACATAATAGGCCCTTGACATTTTTAGGAATATGTTCAAAGTTCTTCAAAAATCCCCCGAAGTACGGATACCACAATAGTGTAGTCTACTGTCATGCATTTCATACACAGCAATAAAGAGAAGGAAGCCACATGTTGCTGCAGATGCCATGCAGTCCATTCATTGGAAGGAGGCTCACCATCTCCCCCGCACCCCCCACCCCACCCCCAGCCTCTCTGTGGCGGGCCTTCACACTTGTACCACAGTGGCATCACAGATTATAGCAGCTCAGGAGCCCTCAGCATCGCCCATGCATTGTTCAAACCAAAGACATCTGTGAAAGCTGAGGATTCATTATATTATTTTATCCTATTCGCAAATTTTAAAAATACTGATTGAAAAAAATGAGTTCTCCCAGGCCGCTCGGCCTTGACGTTAGAGTATAATGTGTGTGGGTGTTATTACCACTACATGACAACGTGACTTACTGTGAAAAACAAAATGAGTGACCGTTATAAAGAGTAAGTTTTCACTTTGCAATCCAATTACAGGTGAGCATCCATTCAGTTTGGGTTTGGTCTGTTAGTAACAAACTCTCAATGTAATCAAAAAAAGAGGGGAAAAAAAATACATGTCTGTTTTCCTTTTTAAGCTGATTTTGAAGAAAACTTCCTGCCACGGTAACTTTAAAAAAATAATAATAGTCAGAAGCATCTGACAAGGAAGAGTGGGAGTAAGGAAAGGAGATGCTGTCGCCGCGGTGACAGCTGTCCAGTGTAAACATCTGACATCTCTTCCGTTTATCGTGTATTTTAGGACAATTCAAGCTGCTGGAACAAGACCGAGATATAAAGGAGCCAGTGCAATATTTCAACAGTGTGGAGGAGGTGGCCAAAGCGTTTCCTGAACGCGTGTACGTCATGGAGGAAATCACATTCAACGTGAAGGTAGCTCCGCAAGAACCAAATATTTATCCCCGCTAAAATCATTTAACTTTCAGGCCGTTACGTACACAGCGAGTGCCCATCTGGGCCTCAGGGAAGAGTTCCGTCTTCCAAATGTGTAGGTGTCATGGCCCAAATGGGCCTTTTAAGAACTGCATGTACTGTAGCTGACCTGTTGCCAGATAGGTAACTATGCTTAATTAGCATTATTTTTTGCTAGAATAACTGTGAAGGCAGATTAAAAAAATTGTTTGTTTGTGTAATTTGGGCTTTATTCCCTAATATGCAACAGTTGTTTGGCCAGATCTTATGTGAGGCTGGGTGCTCCACTTGTAGGAGCATGCAAAAAGCATATGACGAATCTAATACCGGATACTTATTTAAAAAAAGGGAGAAAGACTTCCAGAGTTTGCCCTGAGATCAGCGTCTATTCATTCCACTCTTTGTAGACCATCTGTATCTGTACACATAGGAAAAATTAATGTAGGAAATGTTACCCAATAGGTGTTTTACTGCTCTTTGTTCATAAGAGAAAAGGTAAATCGTGTTTACTGTGCTACATTCGTTTTGCATTCTTAAAGGGACAGTTCTGTCCCCTTCTGCTTGTTGAATGAGCTCCTTGGACTGGACTTGGTGTCAAAGAGGGACCAACCACAGAATTGGTGGTAACGCCACCAACCAGGTCCAACCTCATTGCCTGGGAACCCATTGCATGTCCTTTAGCAGCATCCACGACTGCACTAAAACATTTTAGAAAGTGTTCGCTTTGAAAGAATTTCTTGTTTAACCTCATTTCAGCAGGAAGTCCAACTGAGTCACTTTCTCTGAACATTTCAAAAATTAGAGGGCAAGGAGTATGTTTCTTAGACATCCACTCTATGTGAAAAACAGACTGCGTGTTATCTTAGCCCAAGAATGCAAGTGTGTTTGTGGGTGAATCACCCCACCCACTCCTCAGGAGAGGGAAATGGCCGAGACCGCCTCCCATTAGAGAAGTGGCTCCGCCCATTTAATTGCCCAACCATTCTCTCTTCCCGGTTCTAAAATACAAATGCTATAGTTTACTTTCTTTAGTTTTATTATTAACATGGATGAGATTTTGTGTTTTGTAAATGTTTTACAAAACATGTTATGCTTATTTTTAAAATATTTATAATTTTTAAGTCCTTCAACGGCCCATTCTGTGAGTTGTCAAGACAACTTGTATTCATTTAGATTAAAGATTTGAGAGACCATGTTCATTTTTAAACTTAGCAAGATTAATTGGCCAGAAGTTAATCAAAGTCTATTCCATTAGTGTCTTGATATGACTAACGGTCTCCATAAAACTTACATTCAGGATTACCTAAATGGAAAAAAAAATCATTTAGAAAGGAAAGCTAATACTTTTTAACCCTTTTCTGAAAACCTTTCATTTGCTGATAAATGATGAGAAATCAAGGATAAAAAAATGTTTTATGATTTTAAGATTTCATCAAGTATTAAATTTAACATTCAGTCTTTTGTGGCATATTTTTAATGTGAAAGATTTTTAAAAGGTGCCTCTAGCAGCTAGTTTTTGTGAATTTGTATGAAATTGGCAGTGACTGAAAGAATAATGCTGAAACCAATACATTTTTATAGGTTTTTGATTATGTTGATTAAAATGTATAGAATAGCGATGTCATTTAAAAGTTCAGCATAGCAATGTGAATGTACTTGATACTACTGACCTGTACACTTTAAAATGACTAAGATGGTAAATTTGATGGTATGTGTATTTTACACATAATTGTTTCTAAAAAGAAAAAAAATGCTCAGAGGTACAGATAAGTAAGTGTATGTGAGGCAAGAATATAGCATCCGTAGAACTAAGGGGATTTGGGTTAAGCTCCAGTGCTATGCATACGTAAATATAAATACCTGTAGCCTCTTAGTTACAGAGTTTTAAGGTGCATCACACGTAGCCTTCACTAATCATTAACACATTTTTTAATTCTGTTCAAAGAAGAATTGATAAAGGAACCTCAGGAAATCTGGCTAGAGAAATGCACAAAAGTCTTTGTGCTGCTTAGTGAATTAACACACAAGTAAATAAATAAGCCAAGGAGATTTGTGGCAAAGGTGTCTGGAGACTACCCGGACCAAAATAAAAAACTGTTGGAAAGCATGGTCTTCTTTAAGAAATGATAATGATGTGATTGTAAATATATGCAGTGCTTAAAGTAAGAGCTAAGTGAGGGTAAGGAAATAGTATGTTTGGTTATTACTTCCCTTGGAGAAGAAGAAAAAAATAATGAAAAACAGTACAACTTATTCATTACAACTTATTCATAAATATAGCTATTATTAAATATATAATATGAAGTATTATATAAATGTAGCTACTATCCAGGAAGCAGTTTTTTTAAAGATAGGAGAATTCATACCTCCTTGGAAAACTTCACCCTCTACTCTCCACTTCAAATGCAGCATAAATTATACCAAGGGGATAAACAACTGAGGAAACAACTTGCAGTTAAGAATTGGTAGCTAGAGCCGGCCGAGTGGCGCGTTGGTTAAGAGCTGGCTTGGGACGCCAGCTCTGAGCAGCAAGGCCCCGGTTCGGATCCCACATGAGGGCCAGTGATGCTGTGCCCTCTACAGCTAAGATGGTGAACAACAGCTCGACCTGGAGCTGGGCTGCCGAGAGTTGCCGGTGGAGGCATAGGCTGCAGCCCCTGCTGCAGTGGGTTGCCATAGCTACTGTGTGTGGCCGGCAGCCAGCGTGAGCGGCCAAGAGCCACTGTGAGCAGCTGTCCAGTGGCCAGCAACTGATGCTGACTCATTTGGGAAGAGCGCAATGATAATACCAACATGGGCCAGTGAAGCGACGTCCCCTTCCCCCGATTCCCCATCACTGTTCCCCTCCCCCAATTCCCCAATAAAATCTTTAAAAAGAAAAAAAAGAATTAGCTAACTGGCATTATAATACTCAAAAGGCACCATTATTATTTGGAATAGATATATGTTTGCATGTATATTCATATACATTTACAAGTGCAAATTGAAACAAAATGTGATAAGAATAAAGAGAACAAAAGTATCAAAAGAATGGGAAATCTTGTTTTGTTATTTTCAAGACTAGCAAAATTTTAACTGAATAAATGTAATCGATTTTATTAGTACTGTTTGCACATTTATTTCAAAATTACGACATTCCTTTTATCTTTAAATTCAATAAAGATCATGTCTTTAAAAGATGCCTTGATGTTTTTAAAACTGTCTGCCTGATTGCCCCATTATTGATTAACTGCATGAAATGAATTAATACACGTTAAGTATTTAACTCTTTAACTAGCAAATATATTTTGACCACCTAGCAAATATATTATGTCCCACACTGTTCTAGGCACTGGAGATAAATAGTGATTATTCAAGTCCTTGCCTTCCTGGAGATTACAATCTATTAGAGTGGCAAACATTAAGTAAACAAGTACAAATACAACCTCCCAATAATGAGATCGGGAAGACAATTGTATGAGGTCGGACAATTAAGTTCGTGAACTTGTTGCAATGATGTTGCTAACCTTTTTTGATATCAGAGGGATTATTCATTATGAATTTGTACCAACTAGACAAACAGTTAACCAAGTTAACTATTTGAAAGTGCTGAAAAGGCTGCATCAAAAAATTAGATGACCTGAACTTTTCGCCAACAATTCATGTCTCTTGCATCAGGATAATGCACCAACTCACATGGCACTGTCTGTGAGGGAGTTTTTAGCCAGTAAACAAATAACTGAATTGGAACACCCTCCCTACTCACCTGATCTGTCCTCCAATGACTTCTTTCTTTACCAGAAGATAAAGGAAATATTGAAAGGACATTTTGATGACATTAAGGACATCAAGGGTAATATGACAGCTCTGAAGGCTATTCCAGAAAAAGAGTTCCAAAATTGCTTTGAAGGGTGGACTAGGCACTGGCATCGGTGCATAGTTTCCCAAGGGGAGTACTTCGAAGGTGACCATAGTGATATTCAGCAATGAGGTATGTAGCGCTTTTTCTAGAATGAGTTCGTGAACTTAATTGTCAGACCTTCATGTACATACAGGTTTGAGCTTGGGGTATGTATTTGCAACTCATCAGCTCCTAGATGGCATTTGAAGCCATGGGGTTAGTTGAATTCACCTACATCAGCGGTTCTCACCCACAGGTGATTTCCCACCCCGGGTACATTTGACAATGTCTGGATATGATTTTGATTGGCACAGCTTAGGGGGTTAGTGTGCAGGTGCTACTCACATCGAGTAGGAAAAGGACAGGGATGCTGCTAAACAGCCTACAATGCACAGGACAGCCTCCACAGCAAAAACTGCTCTGGCACAAAATTTCAATAGTGACAAGGCTGAGAAACTCTGACCGAGAGACTAAGTGAAAAAGAGAGGAGACTGAGGACCGAGCCCCGGAACCCCCACCACTGATACCCAGAAGAGATGGAAAGGAGCAGTGAGAGAGAAAGATGGTGGAGCATGTAGATGTCCCAGAAGCCAAATGAGCGTTTCAAAGAGGAATGGGCACCTGTGCCAAATGCTACTTAGTGACTGAATTAGATAAGGACTAGGAACCAACCATTAAATTTAACAACATGGAAGCCTTTGTGGTCTTGACAGGAAGGAAGTAATAATCAGCTCAGAGTCTCAGAAAGTACGTTAACTAGGCAAGTATAGTAGGGTGGTCCCAGAGGTTGGTCAAGGTCAATTTCAAGTGACCCTACTCAGCACCAACCTTTTCTTCTTGCAGCCATCGTCAGCTGCCTGAATGCAGGTAGAGAGAGGCAGGGTTGGGTTTATTCAGAGTTGGGGTTCTACCAGGTGAGTGCAACAGATGAGCAAAGTTGCAGATGAGGTATGCTCTAGAGTGACAAGTGGCAATGAGCCTTAGGCTCCTCACTGGGTAAGGAAGTGTGAATACAAGAAGTGTACCCCCAGTGAAAACTGGAGATCCTGATGGGGTGAAGGTACTTCTGAAGTGGATGTGC